TACTTTTCATTTAAAAAAATTTTCGCTTCATCTGGTTTCAAAATTTCCGAAAATAAAGGAAAGGCAATTTTTACCATGCAAAAAAATAGTCAAAGAAATAGTAAGAGTTAAAGTAAAAGTAAACTGAGTGGTCAACGTTGGATAATCCGCGCACTAGCTGTTTGAGACAATTTCGCAGAGAGCTTTGCGATAGAAATGCAAGTCAGTCACCAGCACTACCTCTATTTTTAATAGCAGGTTTACTGTCTGGAGCGGAACCGGGTAAGTGCTCGATATGCTAACCTAAACAATAACGCAATCGGCAGTTGTCCTATTCGATGAAAATATTTTCGATATTTTATTCAAATATATAATGCATAGATCCACAGTTGTAAAGATTAAGCTGAACGCACATGTGTTACAAGCCAATTTCACATCAGTCTGATTTTTGCTTCATTTTTACAATATTTTTTCGTCGCTTTTTCTAGAGAATTTTACTTATTAAGCAAAAAATCTTTTTTTTTAAATTTCGCGGAATTTTTCCCTCAAAAAAAAACCACTGAAATAATTATTTTTGGAATTTTTTGATCAAAAAAAAAGGAGCAAAGTGGTTAATTGCTCAAATTTATCGTTTTTTACGAAATGTTTTTCATTTTTATATTTTTTATGGTTTCTTCTCTTTTCTTTCTTTCCAGTCACTAAATAAATTCGAATCAATCATATTGGTCAGTGATTTTTCCCAGTATTTTTTTGGTTCTGTGCCTGCGCTAAAAAAAATACTTTCCAACAATTGACAAATGTGTCAAAATAAATTTCGTTTTTGCTAGCAATCAATCAATCCGAAATAAAGAATCCCATTAAAAAGATAGGAAAAATAAAATAGGCTGATGGATTCCGATAAACTGCTTGAATTATATGACAAATCCAGTTCGTTCAACTAATTAAAGTAGAAGCACTCGATGCTCTGGTAAAGTGCAATTCATATGTTTTAAGTTGCTCACTACAGTTTCTCGACGACTTCATTATTAAACCTTAATAGAAGTGAACTGTAGAAGCACAAACTTTTTGCCAATAATTTTATTACCATTCACATAAATTTATAACAATTAGCCAACACATATACAAAACAAGATAAATGAGATAAATGAAAATAAGTTGGTGGCCAGTTCTAAGCGTATCTAGAATTACGGTGAAAAACGATGGATGGTGCAGAATTACAACATATACGCTTTATTGCTTGCATAATAAATTAAAAAAAAAATTTATGAATTTTACGCTGGCAGTGGCGATATTCGTGGAACCATATACCTTCCCCCAAATAATATTCCTCTATTAATCTCCACATCACCTCAAGCGATCCATTTAAAACTATTTCCCATAACCAAAATAGTCAGTTCAAATTGAAAATATCGAAAATTCGTACTCTTACTGTATTATTATTCATACTACTGAAAATATTTTAAAATTGGTCAACGAAATTCTTCTAAAATTTTTATTCCTTCATTCCACAGCTTATCTTTCCTTTAGCCAACGTTTTTCACTAAAGAATCTTTAAAATAACTTTTAAAATGTAATACAAAAGAATATGAATGGTAAGATTATGAATGGTAATAAAAAGAACTATTATTTTTAATCAAAGCAAAATAATAATAATATAATAATAATTAAAGATGGGAAAATGAAAAAAAAAACAAGAAATAAATTAACTATAAATTTAATTAATAAAACACTTCCACCACCATAAATTATAATAATCGCAACTCCTGCCTTTTAGTAGATTTATATTTTTATATGAGTTGTTAGAAGTAGTAATTCCTCATGCGGTTAAAGAAATGTTTGCGGAAAAAGCAATTTTTTTAAAAAACCATTTATCATTGTTATTCAGAATCAACTCAAATAATAATATTCATACAATAACGATAAAATTAAAATATTCACATGAATGACAGAACGATAAATGCGAAGAAAAAAAAACAACTAAAATGAGTTTCAACTATGGAAAATGTTAAAATAAAAATACGAATACCATTATTGGCTTCACGATAAATGAAATGTTAAATACAATGCATGAAGAAGAAAAAAATTCGCAAATGGAAAAATATGCTTAGTAAAATGAATTAAGGCATACATTATGAATACAATATGCAGAATGATAATTGAGAACAAATTAATTCAATAATGACAAGAAAGAAAAGGAAGAAGGGAACCGACGAGAAGAAGGAAAGGAAAACGAAATTAATGATAACTGAGAATGATTCAAATTAATGACAAAAAAGAAGAGGAAGGAGGGAAATATCAAGAAGGAGGAAAGGAAAATGAAAGTATCCAGATTCGCTTACAAAAGATATCGTTGTAAGGACAGAGAGAGAGCTTATTTCGATGACAAGAGGTAGCTTATAGATTGGGAATGCTACTTACCTTGCTTATCAGTTACTCCTCAAAATCAAAGACACATTCCTTCAATTAATTTGACCAATTAAAAAGAAAAAACCTCACCGTTCTTGGTCCTCATAGATAGTATCAAGCAAGAAACAAAAAAAAAATGCAAAAGTTTAAAAAAGACTGCTTTGGGAAAAAAAGCGTTCGCAATAAATTAACAGAGAAAACGAAAATTGAATAAATTATGAAAGCACTACAAACTAGCACAATGTGCATGCCAACGATTTTGTGCAATATGCAAAATGTTCAGCAATCTCTGCACTACCATCTTCTAAATACTATTGAGAATCCTAAATTTAAAAAAATTATTTTATAAAACTCCAATTATCTTCCATTCCGTTTTTTAGATCTTCCAAATATAATTAAATAAATATTTCATTCACTGAATTTATCAAAAGCTGGTCCTCGATCGCACAAACACGACATACAAACACGAGTTTTGCATGGAACTTAATTAAAAAATTTCACTATAACACCGAGACTTCATCAATTGCAGATCCATGCTTATACATTATCAATTTTTGCTGTGTTCTGAACAGTATAGGAAAAAAAAAACTGAAGATGATGGAATTTAATTCAGAAAATTCAATACAGTAACATTTGCTCCAAGTTTACCTACAAAGCATTCTTATCCTCGAGTTACTGAAGAAAGGCTTTTTGTATGTAATTCCAATTTACTTATTGACGATCATCATTCTATTCGGAGGAAATTTTGATCAATTCCGACTTTAATCAAAAAATATCTTCCCATATAGAATAAAAAACTGATCACCTAAAATACCAAGTTTCATTACTCTCACCCACATACTATGATGATCATCTGTAAACAAAATGAAACAACTACAACACAATAACTACGTTATAATTTATTGAAGGAAAAAAAATGACACACTGCATTTCTTCTTCTTCACCAAAAGAAGTTTTCATTTGTTCTGACTTATCGGATGAAAAAAAAAAAAAATTTCCCATGATCCGACGGAAAAGAAAACTGTTATCATCTAGAATATTTTAAATATATATTAAAAAATTATGTAGAATGAGGTCAATTTGATATGAGCGATTTGATTTTAACATCTATAGTTTCTCGTAATGATAAATAAAGAAAAAAACTAAGACCTAGTAGACTATTAGGTGTGCAAAAACAAATAATGACAAAAAAAGGCAAATGAGAGATCACGGCACACAGAATATAATAAGCAGCATAACTGCACAAATTTTAGCAGCTGTCTCGATGAAGAATTTAACAATGCAGATAATGATGAAACTAGTGACTGCGGTAATTGTGATAAGTACAATGATAATTTAAGCTATTACCTTCCCTATTGAGGCATGCTTCACCTGCCACAAGATTGCGAGAGAAAAACTGCTGATACCAATCTCTTCCACAAATCCAGCTTTCATTATCGTTACATTACCCTTATAAAAAAAACTTACTGCTTCAGAAAATTAAAGTCTTAAACCAAAAAAATTGCTTTTTCTTTTAAAATTCTTTTAAAAAATAGAATTCCTGTCTAAAGATAGCGTTTGCTGACACAAAACACTATAGAACAAATCATCAATGAACCCAAAATTCATCGATAACTACCCACGCCTATAATTATCCCATTAAGCTTTCTCCCATCCCTTTCAAATTTACATTCATACAGATTCTATATATATAAATCCCTCCTTCCAGATCTCTCCCTAGAAATTACTGAAATTCAAGAAACAAGAATGCTAAAAAGCGTTTAAAAAAAAGATCGAAGAGGCACTATTTGCTGTAAATCAAAAAATTCACGCAGAAGTTGTATTAGCAAAAATGAGTAGTGAACCACGAACTTAAAATACATCTAGTAAATTGAAATTGTGGAATATAAATGCTAAATTTTTTTTGAATTTAACTTAATTTAATTAAAAGAGAATTATAATGAATTCATTGACCGAATCGAATTAAGCGACTGAAAAAGATTTTTCTAATTTGTGCTTCAGCAAAAGGAAAATTGGATAACATGCAGAGACTAATGTTTTTGGCGATCTGAAGATAAACTGAATCAAAAGCTACTACAAGATTTTAGTTTAACAAAAGTTTCATACTTTTTTAAACAACTTTAAAGTTAATTTAAAAACTGAACTTTTGCAAGTTTTAACTTTTAAATTTTTTGAATTTAAAAAATGACTTAAGAAAAAAAGATGGAGATAGAAAAACATTGGAATCGAATTCTTTTTTAAATTCATACTGTTTGTAGCAATATTAATTTACGAGTGTGCAGCAGTACCAGAAAAATTTGCAAAAACAGGTAGACGTTGTGAATTATGCATTACAGCTGCAGATGCTTCCGATTCATGTAGATTTATTTTTGCGATCATATTTTCAATTAGAATGGCATCGTTTTGTTGATTTGCTGTCGCTAGGGGCATTGTTCTTGAAAAATCCGAAAGGTTTGTGATGTTTTTAGCAACGTCAGGAAGTATATGGTCCATCATTGACCACTGGAAGAGATTTGGTACCTAAAATTATAAATAAATAAGGAAAAAAAGCACTAACATCCTACAACTTCATTCGTCATTAAAATTTGCAGAATGTGAAAAACAGGAAAAAATTTTCAAGAAATGTCTATAAAGCAATAGCTCACAACTTTATTGTTGCCAGAATAAGACCACGCAGCCAATCCAAAACCAGTGTTATCATTTTCGTTGACTGGAGTCGTCGAACCAGGGGTAGCATCGCTTGACTTCATTGAATTTTGAGATGTTAAGGCATTTGCTGACCCATTTTGTAATTTATGATTTGTTGCCCCAAAATCACCATTTTGCATTCGTGCTGGTAAGAGAAGGGAACTGAAAAAATATTTCACCGATGCAGCATTTTATTTCTCAACTTCATTTTTTTCGCAGCACCCTAACCGAACTAGGGCGAATCTTCCAAATTTCGCGCCTTTAAAGTATTTCTATATGACATATGTCCTTCAAAGTATACAAAGGAAAATCGGGATTTAAAAGTCCATTCAAGTCAACTGATTCAATAACTGAGCAAGATTTTGTTATTACATCTGCTGGCGCTGTTGCTAATACTGTGGCTCCCGTCTGCCGTTTTTTGAATTCTCATTCATATTACGTGCCTCAGCGCTTTCAAATGATGAGAACGATCTTGAAGAATTAAAAAGATTAAAAAAGGAAAAAAAGTTCAAAAGACCTAAAATCCTTGAATTTAAAAAAAAAAGCCTACACACTGTTGTTCAATAGATAAGTCATTCAGAAAATATTGCAGATAAAACAGTACTTTAAATCAGTGCCCACAGAACGTCGAGACTGCCCTAATTTTGAATTTTCGCTGTGGATGAAGTGACATCTTGGACCATATGGGCAGTATCCTAGCTGATGGTAAGATTGACAGTATGCTGTTTTATATTTTGGGTGCCTCGGAACTGGTCTTTTTTCACTTTCGCCGTGCGCATACTGACACCTAAATATAATAAAATACAGTCAAAAATTTAGAAAAAAAACTACGACCAATGGAACGACACTTTTACATGACTTAATTCCATATTTTCCCCATCTTTCTCTCAGGAATATAAAAAAAACATGATAAAACTGATAACCTATCACCGTAATTACAATGACCAGTATCAGCGAACGTGCGACAAAGTTCGGTTTTATATAGTTTTGGATTTTTTTGCTGTTGATTGGTGGAATTCGTAGAAGCATGCGATAAATTTCCTAGAAATTGTTAGACTTTACTAAATTACTTCGATGCAAGAATCGATTTAAACGGCATTCTTTCCTTCTTAATTCAGTAATCTACGACCAAGGAAAAACAGAAAAGAGATATACGAAACTTTGGTTATTTCTCCAAGAGGGCACAGATTTCAACAATATGTAGATTAACAGAAATTAAATACTGGTGAACTATGAAACAATATTCAGATAAGCTAATAAAACTAGAATTCAAACTATGAATTCCGCTCAAACCAAGGAACAAGAAAGTGAACAAAATTAACCTATAAATCTCATTCATTTCATACAAATTATGCAAATTCGCTGGAGCAAATTAATAATCTCTATGCCAGAAGTTTAATCCCATTCTGAGGTAGCAAGAAAAGAGGAATTATAATCTGCAGAAATCTGTTAAAATATAAATGAAACGAAACCAAATCAGTTAAAATAAATCTATTTTACAACATATATTATCATCATTTGAGAATGTTGAAATAGAAAAGTTAAAAGTTTGTTAATTTTGGTGGAATTCATAGTTAAGCAGAGAAAGACATCAGGAACTCAAATAAGCTATATTTATCAATCCCACTAATTTCATAATCTTAAATAAAAAATCTAACTATGAATTCTATTAAGACAGATAAGTTACCTTGGCTACAGTATGTTGTTGTCGTTTGAGATGGTTGAGAAATAGACTTAATTTCAGTCGAATTATTAGTATTCAAGCCGTTTGCACGTCGACCTGATTGACCAGCTTTACTTGTTGCATTCATCTAGATTTCAGTTTAAAGCAATAAAAATTAACGACAAATTAATTTGCCTTAGAATAGTATGAAGTCAGCCAGCCACCTATCTCACCAGCACGCAGTCATAATGGCCTCCACGATCACAATCAACAACACTTTTAAACGCTTCCTTCCATTCACGCTGTTCTACGCAAAAGAGCAACGAATCAAGTGGTGTTAACGAAACCTCCGAAAAACTGACTAAACAACTGAATTCTAAACAAAATGGAGAATGGAAATGATAACTGAAAGACAACGAATAAAATCGCGCGCCTATTAACTTTTCTTCAAAAGAAAGAGAATTTCCATGAAAGAAAATGAAGAAAAGCGAAAAAAAAATTTTCCAATTCACATCAGTAGGGAACGAACAGAAAACGAATGAATTTGAATATATTTAAAATTATAAACTAAAATAAAAGAAAGAAATTTCTCATCAAAATAATTACCATTATTCGTTTTCGGTTTTCCTTTCACAGTTTATAATATTTTCTGCTCTATTCGAAATGAATTAACAAAAAATTCATGTATATTCTCGAACGAAGAGAAACAGCAAAGATGCCTCTGCCGACAAATTCTTCCTCGTTTTTTTCTTCCACAATTAATTTAATCCAACCGCACGCAAAAACCGCGCAACAATTTAATGTTGCAATTCTACTTGGCGAAACACGATTAACTGAAATTTTTGCATATATAAAATGGCGCGAAATACGAGCCCGCATTGTAGTACTTCTAACAATCAGCTTTACAAGTCGACGAGCAAGCAAACAGATACGTTGCTGTATAGAATGTTTAAATATAAAGGTCAACAGAGGCCAAGAAGTGGACATGGAGTTCAACAGGTGGCCGTGTTGGAGAATAAGTGGTTCGGAGAGCTTGAAAGGTCAGCAATCCGAGAGAAATACAAAAACTTCCTTATGATAAAATTTCAAGTCTAATTTTCATAAAGCATTTGTTAGTGAAATGTACAATAAAAAACATGTGGAAAAAGTAACGAAACGTAGAGAGGTAATATGAAGCGACGTACGTGAAAAATTCTCCAATAAATTTCCTAATATTTTCAAAGCAGTAATGTGGAATATATTAAAAATAAAATAATGCGATATGCTGAAGAATTTCAGCAAAATAAAAACAGTAATAATAATTTTCAGTTGAAATGGACGTGAAACTTAAAATTTGATTAAAGGAAGCATATTTAAAATTCAAATAACAAATAATTGAAATTCAAGCAAATGAAATCTAAAACACGAAGGCGAATCGAATTCGCGTTGCAGATTTCACATTGACAATTAAATAAATATCTTCCCGCATTTTCTGCAAAATTTGCTGAAAAAATGGAAATCGGGGAAAACCCAAAAACTCAAAAGTTCAAATGAACTGAAACAGCGAAAAGAAACAACGAAAGCTGAAAAACTAACGATATTCATTACGTGATCGATCATATTTTCGCCCACTTTTAGATTAATGAAAATTTTTTTACGAAAACCAATAAAAGAAAAACTGAACGTAACATAAGCGCAAAAACACACGTGAAATACGTGAGCAAGATGCACTGCATCGCCTATTTTTTTTTTTCGTGCGAGCACAGAGTTCTTTTAATGAATTTAATAAAAAAAAAGGGGAATTAGATAATGATGTGAGTTATTTGATAAGCGCAATATGATGATAAGTAATAAGTAAGCGCAATAAATTCTTTGGTGAAAAATGATAAATAAATTTTATAAATGTTTTCTCAAAAAAAAATAAGATTATTCTTACTAATAAGGAAGTTAACTTATTTTTACTTTTCATTTTAGAAATTTCTTTTTTGGTAATTAAAATGATAAAATAATCGACAAAAATCGCATTATCAAAATTATAATGACTTATCGTAACAGTTTAAAAAAGAAAATTTGTATTAATTATCGACACAAAAACGATGAAAAAAAGCAGAGAATTCCATCTGCCGAGCAACACTATTGTCAACCCAATCATAGCCAAGCAAACCACTAAAACAGGATGATTTCTATTTAGATATAATGGATAGTTAAAAGAAATAAGACATATGCAATTAGTTGAAACGATGAGAAAGCAGCTTGAGAAACTGAAAGAAAGGAGAAGAGAATGAATTCTGTTCTGAATGACATACGATTAATTACACTCGAGATGAAGGGATAACCTACAACAGTTGATGATGAAAATGATGAAAGCGATGATAATGAAGGATGATGAAGATGATGGTGATGAGAATGATGAATAAGGTGATCTACTGAAGCACATTAAACAAAATGAAGGAAGCAAGCATGAAATGAAAAGTTCAGGAGAAATAAAAAATTAGAATCATTACGATCTACAAAACAAAATTATTCACATAAACTTTTATGAAATTTTAGAATTTTTTAAAAAATTTCTTATTTCTTATCTCGACAAGTGCAGATTTCTATTAGCAGAATGAAACTTCGATAAATAAAAATTTTTGAATTGAAAATTTTCGCGCGATTTCATATTAAATTTAAGCTTTACTCCTAAAATTTGAAACTTGGAAAATCTCAAGAAAATTATTTCAAACCAAAGTCAAATATCATTCATGAAGTTATTTTCTCCAGAGATTTCATATAGAAAGTTAGCATTTTAAAAGAATCAGAAGGAAGAGAAATTGAGACGATTAGCCTCGCTGGGCTAATAAATAATTTAATGACGAAAAAATGAAAAAATGGAAGTATTATATTAACGGAAAGAGAACTATCAGGAATTACGTGACATAGCTAGGCGTTACTTATTACTAAGTCTCGCAGGAATGCGGCAAAAGATATGGATTCACTTAACAGATATTTTTTAGATTTATAGCGATTAGTGAAATTTATGAATCTTAACTGAATAAAGTAGTTTTAAAAACATGGGAAGTAATGAAAAGACTCAAGAAAATGGCATGGAGACGAATTTCACAAAGAAAAGAAATTGGACCTAAAACTGCTTGCCAATTTTATAACAAAAAAACTCGTTTCTAACAGCTAGTTGTCGCCATCTGTATCATAATCATTACCATCATCTCCAACTTGACAAACCGCCGCCACCAAGCACCACATATTTTATCATGAATGTGTTATTTGTTGCCCAAGCGGCTCGTACCGCTGCCTCCGCCCCTCTTCATATTCCTATAAATCGCACAGATAAAAATCATTTCATATGTTTTGTGCTGCTTTTCAAATATTTCATGGTGCAAAATCTTTATCGAATGATAAGCAAAAAAGTTTCTCGCCAAAATAGATCAATGGACTGTTCTAAAGTAAATAAAGCAAATATTAGTGAGATAACTCGAAAAAATAACATTAAATCGGTATTACAAAACAAAAAAAAATAATGTATACTTATTTAGAAAGATTAACCAAGCATAAAGCAAAGCCATATTAGAAACAATGGAATATAAAGTGAAGTAAAACAGAATAAAAAACGGTTTGAGGAGATGAAAACGAAATTGATATGAAAACTGAAATTAACAATTCCACAAAAAAACCTAAATTTGATTAAGAAAATGCAGTTATCATTATTACTCTACTAAAAACTTATTGATTAGTTTTTATATTATTAATTAAGATAAATTTTTTATGATTCCTGAAATAATGAATAATGAAAAGAGAAAAATTGAAAAAAGAAAAGCGAAAACCTGATAATTTATTTAGAGCTTCACGGATGAAGTTTACTTAAGAACAAGTCGTAAAGTACCTTCTCTCCTTTATTTATCCTTGAGCAATATTGTCAGCAAATAAATTTTTCATCACCCCCCCCCCCCCCCCCCCCCCCGTCCAAATCTCATGGATTTTCCTCTCTAATTTCATAATTTTCTTTACAACCAAAAAAGCCAAATTTTTGCACATATTAATATATAAAAAATGAATAAATTGACCCAGAGAAAAGAATCCATAAACAGCCTTAACACGTTGAAAGAAATGGTTTGCATAATATTTTGCAAAATCGCTTTCATATAACAATTGCATTCAGTGCATTATTCATTATACTTGATGACCATTCGATTGTAAAAAGAATTTTTGATGCCAAAAAACGGTTGAAAAACTATAATTGCATATTATAGAAATTTCTCTTTCAATGAATTATTGAAAAAGGTTTTAGGAGTTGCAAATTTACCTATGCGCAACGTATTTCAAGAAGAAAAAAAAACAATGTGCCACGATCTGTCATAAATGTTCTTTCATAAATTAATGAAATTCCCACCCATAAGCGAAAATTCTCTCATATGACATTTAAAACTGAGTATCCAGTTAATATTTCATCTAAAAAGCTCTCAAAATGAAGCTTAAGATTCAATATAGGCTTAATAATTCGTATATACTGTTATTTAAGTGGAGTCTCATGCAGCTTTTTTATATGATTTTAGCAGTGAGCAACTAACAATAGAAATGATTAGGATGAGTAGTTCAGTCAGCAATCGGCAGAAATTACTGGATGATATCAGCAAGAATCACAGGATGATAAATTGGCTTATTCACATTAAAGAAAGTCAATGGTCAACAGCAATCTTCTTCAATAGTAGCATAGCAAAACATAATTAGTTGACAGAGCGAAAAAAGGATCACTGCCAATTATGTATACGTTGTACACAGGATGATCAATATTCTAGTAAGAAACTAACTACCATGGATAATCGGAAAAGGCCACTTGATAGAACAACGATAAAAGCAGTATGACGACGATGGAAATATTTTGATCGTCTATATATTTAGCAACAAACAGCTGAACGACCCATCCTTCTATTCAGTTTAACTGATAAGCTATGACTAGTAAGAAAGCAAACAGTAGAGCATAAAGTGGAACAACAAAGCAGAATTAAATTGCAACAGCTTTAAGTCTGCGAGTGTTTCAAACCATCAACTCTAGCGAGATTCACTTCTATGATTCGGACTAATCCCTATGAAAAGCATTAATCTCCCTTTTAGCGATATTCACCACTGATTATTTTTCGATCTGCAAAATGAAACTTATTCCTAGAAAAAGGT